CGGACCGTTGTGGCTCCGGTTGCGGGTTTGTTCGTTTTAGCGGATGCGAGGAGGCTCGGCTGCAGGAGCGGATTTTCCCCCTGCAGCTCCGGAAAGGCCTGCTCTGATGTGGGCTCCCTCCGCCACTTAGCCTCGCTTCAAACCAGCCGTTCATCCAGCTTCCGCCGTGTCGCTTACAAGCTGCAGCGCTCCAGACGCCCGTCATAGTTAGAAAACGGCTTGTTTTTGTACTTGATCACTTTGAACCCCGGATGTTATTCTCCTTTTATTTTTTCAAATGAGAGGAAGCTTCAGCCGTTAGCAGCCAGCATGCTAACATCGAACTACATCCTACAACACAAACGTTTTATGGCTAACTCTGAAACCGTGAAAGAAATGACATCTTCAAACAACGAGCGTTGTTATTAGCACTTTTACAAAAACCCAAATTTAAAAGTGTATCAAAATTTAGAACCTTAAACGTCCGATTAGCGCTCCAGGAAATAGACCGAGCCCATTGATTCTGTTTTCTTTCTGGAGCAAAAGCTACTTTGACGAAGTGACATCTCAAGGGTTTTCTTTACTCCTAAGATCAAACAGTCGTGAGCTGCAAACAGAAATAACACTTAGCACAGTTGTTTACAAGTATTTTATTCATTTTTTATATCACATTGAATTTATTATGACTTTGTTTGACATTGTTTCGGTTTAAATACTTACATTATTTCATGCTATTTTGTTTATTTATTTTTCTCTTTACTATGCGCCCCCCTCCAGGATTTCTCCAGACACTGAGCGATCCATTAAAGACTTTCCTGCAGCTGCATCCGTCCTTGTGTCAAATTTGGGGTATAATCTCCCTGCATCCAGGATGACGGAAGCATGGCAGCAGCAGCAGCAGCATGCAGTGGCTCCACCCTCTGTTGTGCACACTCTCCCTCAGGCAGGCGACAACTCTCTGAGCTGCACCGTGTATGGTGTCGTCCTGCAGCCAGACGCCTCCCTGCAGCAGCCTCAGCATCAGCAGCAGCACGTTGTCCAAGCGCAGCAGGCCTCCTTGCAGGTAGGGGCCGACAGAGGGCATAAATGCGGCGCCTGCGGCCACGACATTTCCCACCTGGCCAACCCACACGAGCACCAGTGCATGGTGACGCAGGACCGCTCCTTCCAGTGCACGCAGTGCATGAAGATCTTCAGTCAGGCGACCGACTTGTTGGAGCACCAGTGCGTTCAGGTGGAGCAGAAGCCGTTCGTCGTGTGCGGTGTCTGCAAAATGGGCTTCTCGTTTGCTTACCTCGCTGGCACAGCATCATAACTCGCACGGTAACAACCCGATGAAGTGCTCCATATGCGAGAAGACGTACCGGCCTGGATCTGGGAACGTCACGCCCACCTCGTCTGCTGCCAATCCGCAGCAGCCCTCCAGCGGCGAGAGTTCCGGCGGCGGTGCGGTCATCAGTGCCGCCTCACCGCCAACGTTTGAGGCATCTGCACCCGACCGGCCGTACAAGTGCTCCGTGTGCCACAAGTCCTTCCGCCATCTGTCGGAGCTGACGCGCCACGAGCGGATCCACACGGGGAGAAGCCATACAAATGCGACACGTGCGACAAAAGCTTCAGCCAGTCATCGCATCTGGCGCACCACCAGCGCACGCACAGCTCCGAGCGGCCGTACAAGGCGCTGTATGCGAGAAGAGCTTCAAACACCGCTCCCACCTGGTGCGGCACATGTACGCGCATTCGGGCGAACACCTGTTCAAGTGCAATTTATGCGAGATGCACTTCAAAGAGTCGTCGGAGCTCCTGCACCACCAGTGCCAGCCGGAGAGCGAGAGGCCGTTCCGCTGTGGCTCGTGCGGGAAGAGCTTCAAGCGGCCGTCCGACCTGCGGCAGCATGAGCGCACGCACTCCGAGGAGCGCCCTTTCCAATGCGACGAGTGCCAGATGAGCTTCAAGCAGCAGTACGCTCTGGTGCGCCACCGCCGCACACACAAGAACCCCGCCGACCGGCCGTTCAAGTGCAACCTCTGCGACAAGGGCTTCCTGCAGCCGTCGCATCTGCTCTACCACCAGCAGGTCCACGGCATGGAGTCGCTCTTCAAATGCGCATCCTGCCAGAAGTCCTTCAGCCAGTCGGGGGAGCTGCTGCGGCACAAATGTGGTGGTGAGGTGGAAAAGCCGTACAAATGCGACGTGTGCGGCAAAGGTTACAAAAAGAATTCCACGCTGCAGCGGCACCAAAGCACTCACTGCACGGAGAAGCCGCTCAAGTGCTCTCTGTGCGACAAGCGCTTCGTGTCGTCATCCGAGTTTGTCCAGCACCGCTGCGACCCGACGCGGGAGAAGCCGCTGAAGTGTCCCGACTGCGAGAAGCGCTTCAGGTACTCCTCAGAGCTGCAGCGGCACCGCCGGGTCCACACGGGCGAGAAGCCCTTCAAATGCGCCAACTGTGACAAGAGCTTCAAGCAGCGGGAGCACCTGGCCAAGCACCAGAGCGTGCATTCACGGGAGACGCAGTTTAAATGCGTGTGGTGTGGGGAGCGCTTCGTCGACCTCACAGCGCTGCAGGAGCACACGGTGCAGCACACAGCGGAGAACGAGAACTTCCCCGAAGCGCCGTGCATCCAATGAACCCCGAAAACACTCCCAGTTAATCCAAGACACAGAGGGGGAATCGTACGGCGGCGCATTACGAGCATCGTAGATAGGGGGAGAGTAGATTTCTGCCCAAAAAATTTTAAAATTAATATCAGAAATGTTACAAAAAATTTGAACATTTCTGAGCTCCAAAACTTAAAAGTTTGAGAGAAAAAAAAATCATAAATTTGAGAAATGCACTGAAATGTCAAAGCTCAAAATTGAAAATTTGCAAAGAGAAACTCAAAAATGTTGAATTTCACATGTAGATTTCCAAGCTCAAAGACAAAGTTTGCAAAAAACAAAAACACACAAAACAGCTCAACTTTTGACTTTCAAAGCTCTGAAATTAAATGCTTTTTTTGTTTTTTTTTTATTACAAAGTTCCTTAGTTTTTTTTCGCAAATAAATTTTGGACCTCAGTGAATTCCATTAATTTTTCAGAAAAATTCCAGTTTTACTCAAAATTTCGTAAGTTTTTTGGCGTAAATTTACTCCTCCTCTTGCGCTTTCCATCTCCATCGTCCCTCAGTCGCCGCCGTAAGGAGCCGGGATCCCTCTTCTTTTTGAAGAACAAAAACTAGAGCAGAAAGAAATTGATGTGAAAGTTGGACGGTTTTCTCTGTAAAGTCTGGGACCGTAGTCTGTGGTTGCATGTGGTTGTTTGTTCCGTAACCGTTGTTGAGAACGATGGCTCTCGTTTCCAGACAGTCATCCCATTTGTGTCGACTCCTCTTCAATCCATGTGCCTTTTATTATTCTTATTATTGTTGTTATTATTATTATTATTAGTTTTTTCTTCCTGCTCACTCGTTTTTGTTTTTATTTAACGTCCGGTGAAGCTGAAAGCAAACACGTCAGTAGAACGTAGATCCATCTGTTTGTGCATGGATTCTTCTCCCACATTAGTATTATAATTGTATGATAGCTTTGCTTTATTTAGGACATCCTCAGAGGAAGAAGAAGAAGAAAAGACTTCACATGGATTTGTGAAACTGTACAGCCCGTCTCCTATAAAATCTGTGTTGTTGCATCTTTGTATTAAAACAAGCGACATGTAGGTAACTAATCCGCGTACCTATCATGTCGTAGAAACACTTGACTTGTGCAATATGCACAGTGTAATATTTATGACTACTGATTCATGGAATAGTCTACTCTGTTATATTATAGATTGTGTGTATACGCGATGTAAACTCTGACAACTGTATAGTGCTTATGTTACCTGCTTTTTTATTCACTCTGAATGAGCTTCATTTCCACCGGAAATATCACAAGGTTTAACCCCACGAAGCATTATGTTGCTCACTTGCCACAGATGTAGTTGCATTAGTTTTAGATATAACAAAAGTTATTATTATTATTGATATTATTATTATTATTGAGTATTGTTATTTGTTTTTAAGAATTGGCCTTGTATTGTCTCCACTGAATCCTAGCCTCCTCCTGGTCCAACAGGACTTAAAAATCAGAGTAAAACTTGCCACTTATGTGTTGGTTTTTTACCAAGGATAAAGGTAAGAAAAAAGAGAAAAATATGTGTGTACTTTAGTTTACTGTGTGGATTTATATTCTGTACAATCTTTGCAGTATATTTAAAGGAAAGATTTTGGAGTCGTGGACTTGAGGGGTTTACAGGGTGGGACTGAGTGCCATGGTTTGAATCCTGGTGAGTCCGCTTCAGAAGCTCCAGTTGGACTTTATCGAAGCGTAAGGATATCATTATAAACCCTGTTCATACTGTATATTAAAATAAACCGCCCTTATGATAAGCTGCTCCGCCTCTGCAAAATTCTGTAAAACATTTATCCACCATTTTGTCAACAAGAAACTTCAATTTTATTTCATTTTTTTGTTTGTTTTTGTTTTACTGGGATCTTTTGCGTCAAGAACATGCATAAATGATAATTATCTTTATAAAAATGGTAATAATAAAAACAATTTGCAATTCATTCATACTCAACTGTGGACAACATGCTATTATTGTTTGGTTGTCCAGACATTTTTAACAGTTATCTCACCTAAACCAAACATCCTTTCATTAAATATTTTTAATCAATCGACAGTCTTTAAAATGCATGAGTGTGTGTGTGTGTGTATATATATATATATATATATATATATATATATATATATACTTACAAAATCTGACATTTTCTCGTATATGTCTCCATATATGTAGTACATGTCTACATTTTAAAAACATAAGTTAAAAAATTAAATACAATTTTGCATATTT